CAGCTACGAGACGGTACAAACGCCGCCACCGTTGCCGTCCGCGCCCCAGGTGCCCGCGGTCACGACCCCTCCCGCGGCCGCGGCGCGCGACGGCGACGGCGACCAGTACGGCCTTCCGGACAAGAAACCGATGGCGGCCGACAACTGTTCGCTGGAAATCGACAACAGCATTTACGGGCTGAATGCCCCTTCGGAGTCCACTTCGTCCGGTAAGGCGTCCGTGCATTCCATCGGGTATAATGGTAGTACGCGTACAGTCGAATCAGGCGTTTCGACGCAGGAGAATTTTCCGCGATTTAACTAAATATTTACCGTTACGGTCCAGGCGAATGTCCGGTCCAAAACCGACGGTTTTTCGTTTTACTTGAAACCATATGTTACGTTTTCATTTCAATTAATTATATTGTTATTCTGATATAAACACTCGCGTAACACAATAATTCATGGTTCAATCATATAAAAATGGAATACGCGTTGATTTTCACGGTCACTTCCTTTCTATCGAGCATCGGACACTTGAAAGTTATATGGAATAACGATATAATTAAAATAATCATTTTTTTAATTATATACAAATGTTCTATTTTTTAAACTCTGTCGATATTGCATAGGGAGATATAATATAATATGCATGTTTTGTAAAATTCGTTTAAAATGCCCAATCGAACGGTAAAATTCCATAAAACAAAATTCTTCGGCTATACGCCCACGACATACGAAGACGGTGTTACATGATTTGTCATCGGATTCACTTGTATGTGTTACTTGTGGACAAGGACGACATGAAATATTTTTTATAACGTATAATATAATTATATTCTCACTACTGATATTATCTGACGTATTATAACTCCGTCCTTTTCGAAACTTTCGAGATGTCCGAGATTTTAAAACCAAATAATAGGGTATTATACATTTTCGTTCGTCGTGATTTAACCGTTATAACTATGGAGTATTTTCATTGATTTCCTGAGGGCGAGGGAAGTTCATTTCGCTTTGAATTCGATACGTACACGGTTAATTATATAAAACCCAAAAAAAAATATGCATGTGTAATAACCAGTAATCCCGCAACCTGCCGCCAATTGGTACGATACCGGTTGGAACCTATCTCACGTTCCCGTTTAAGCGTTCGATTCATTGTAATTTTCTCTCCTTCTGATTTCGGTTAAAAGGGAAAACTAAACAGAAATGTACTATAATTATTAAGATCTGAGAGGTATAATTTTTCGAATATGTATAATTTATCATTCGTTCTCTTTTCAGGTGTCACGTCTGATAGCGTCAGCGCTGATCGAAATAGCAAATTTGACTTAGATGAAGAATGGGTCGACGTAGATAACACTTCGGATGAACTTCAAGAAATTATTGTGTAAGGGTTTGAAAAGTTTATACTATAATAATTATATTATTGTTGTCATTCTATAAGCCGTGGTTGACAAATGAATCAGATCTGATTACAATTTATGAAGTAATTTATTTATCTTTTTACTGGAAATGTTTCTATGATTTTCAAATTTTGTTAGGATTTGACAGATTTTTTCATCGCACTACGATAAATTTCAATTCATAATTTACAGATTATTTCAATGAGCACAAATCTACATAATTAAAACAAACATCTAATGTATCGTATTGTAATTATCTCTTGTAAAAAGAATACAAAAATCTATCTAATTAAATCTAAAAAAAATTTTAAAATGTATTAATTCTTGCTTAAAATAACTACGCATTCTGTTGGTAATAATTTTGAATTAATTAATTATTTCGTAAGCTAATTATACATTTTCTATTCATATTTTTTTAATGCTTTGCGAAAACGGTATTAGAACCACTAATGATTTAAGCATTTACATATCAGTGCGTTCTTCATTATTTTTGTAGCCCATCCCCTCTTCGAACAAATATTTTTTGCTTGTAAAACGTTTTTCCGATATGTGTAAAAATTACTTTTTATTATTTTCACATGAAATATATTAAAATGATTATGGTTCTAATAGGTTTCGTCAAAAGCCCAAGATTAACGACACAACCACGAAAGGGTGGTCAATACAAGTTCGGAAACAGTTGACCAAAGCTTACGGTAAGTCATCGAATACAATATTATGTAGTATATTTTCGTAGAACGCCTTAAAATACTGAATACTTGCAATACAACAAACACACGTGCCTATATCGAGTAAATTGTAATTTCATCATACTCGTTACCTACTCCTCATTGAACACTCGTATCTTACATAATTGCGGTTTAGAATAATACATTAGGTTAAACTTTGTCGTTCTAAAAGTTTATTATATTTTTTGATGGTTTAAAGCGAAAACCGTCATTTTAAACACAGGAAACTATTTTTGAAATTGTTTTCATAATATCACGTTTGTGTTAAATATGTGTTGTATTAGAATCTGTTAGTGGTAAAAATGACTTTATGCATACTTCTACTATTCGAACGATTAGAGCAAATTCATATAATAACGATGTTTTCCATAATATCGTTACTTTTAATATCGATAAACGCTTAATTTTATGTGATTTCATGTAGGTTTTACGTGTGCGGCATTGATTTTTTCGGGATTATTCAACGTGCATCATGTTCATTAGCAATTTCATTATATCGATAACATAACTGATAAAGTATATATCAAAATGATTTATTTGTTAACTCCAAGGTTCAAATTAAACGAACCGCATTGATTTTTTCATCAACAAAATGAACTTTCTCTGCTTTCGTCTTGCACAAATGATACGTCGATGTGAAATTGAAAGCAAAAATCATTGAATATTCCGTGCAACTAATAAGATGATTTAGTACGTGGGAACTGTCAGTATTTGAATACATTTCTGTAATGATTAAATTTTGTTTTTTTTTTTTCTCGTCATTGAAATGTCGTGATTTTACCAAGCTTAAGATTCGTCGAAGAACTTTTTCGCTAGAAACCGGTTTTGCATTACATAGTATATATATACTTCCCAAGGCCAAGATCATACGATTATCCTAATGGATTCGTAATACGTTTAGACTTACGAGCACCGTGTAGTCGTTGCGAGGCCAGTTTTTTCGCCCTCACACAAATCGCGCGTCTTAGCAAAACCGTACGAATACATTTGTACGGTAAATGACTCGTACAAAACAATAATATGATATTTTAGTACGTTTACCGGAGTGGCAAGGTCGCGTAAAAAATCGTACAACTGGTTTGGTACGTGATAATGAAATGCATCGAAACGTTCGAAGTGTACAGAGTGTTGAGATCGTATGCAGAAGTTGAAATGGAAAATCAATTTCGTACCGGTGTTTGTTGGGCACTTTGTACGAGTGATATTTAGATGCGACGGGGGGCAGAGGGTGTTGACTAGTTATCGACAGATAAAAAAAAGATAAAAACAGTGACATTTTATTGATTATGACGGTTTCTCTCGTGTTACATCTCACATTAAAACGAAACACCGAGAAGACAGTCGTTGATCCACGGCAATAAATTATTAATTTCTTCCTATCTGTTTTCCTTTGCCATTGTACTCCAGTTGGTTTTCCGGACGGTATTTCTTAATCGGTTCCGACGTGTGAGCGCATCGCAAAGCTCAGACAATATTTTTTGAAAACGCAAACGAAACACTTTTTCTTCGCCCAACTCGTATTCGATATTGGACAGATATTTAACGGTTAGTCCGCAGAAAACGAACGGCGAATGCACGGGAGACGTAGTCTCGGCATGGCGTTCGGAAGTATTACGTTCGTTGGACGTCGACAATAATAATTATCGGATAATTATTATGCGTCCGAAAAACTTCGAGCACTCGTAAGACTTTCGATTATACGACGATGTTTGCGAGTACAAGTTACGTTGCTATTGCGCGACATCGCAAGAGCAAAAGACCCGCAGCGCCCGCGACGAAAAACGCATTTCCTCTCCCGTTCTTCGGCAGCACGTCATAATTCCGCTCGTGTGGCAGGCGCACATCGCGGATCGGTCGGCCGCATTTTTTTACTACTCATTTGAATAAGATTATTTACTCATTTATATTTTATATTCGCTTCGGTTTCCGACGCGTTTGACACAATGTTATACCGTACGAATACCGCCCCCGCACGTTTAGCAGACTTCATCGGCCGCGACAAGTCGGAGGCGGTTTAACGGCGGTGGGTCGTTCCTCGGACCTTGCCCCCCCCCCCAATGGTTTGTTTTGCACACAAATATTATGAAATAATCGCGACTAAATGAATACGTTCGACCGGTTACAATACGCGTTCACGCATGCGAATTTCATCGCTATAATCTAATGATGATGGTACACTTCGTAATAATACATCGCGGCGGAACGTCATTCCGTCCCGTTTCTTCGCCCGCCACTCCCTCGCCACCAAAAAAGTTTCGTTCCGACGACGTACCCACCAACAACCTGCCACGTTCGTAACAACAGGAATGTAATTCGCGATGATGTAACGACGATAATCTCGTCGCCCGGACGATTGGACTGTACGGTCGGCGTGTACCGCGGATGGACGTGCTTCGATTGTGTTTGCTGCGCGTGGGCCGCGACGATTAGCGCGGATGGAGTAGGAGAAAAAGGAAAAAAACTACACGACCGAATCGAAAACCTGTTTACCCTCCCGACCGTGTAATGTTTCCTTTTTCTGCACGCGCCCGACAACCGCCGGACCGTGTACACAGTTCGTGTTATTACTATTGTTGCCGTGTCCGCCGTGCGCTCCTACCCGTCCCGAACGCGCTCCCACCACCGTGAAAATTATCGCAACGGTCCAAGGACTCGGCGCTGTAGTGGGCCGCCGCCGTGTTGTCCGTCTCCTCGGCGCGCGCGAAGTGAAAGTGGCGCGCGCGCAGGACGCGTAATCGCCCCGCCGCCGTCGACCGGTCGCAGTGCTGTGCCGTTTTTTGACGTAACGTCTCGTCGCCGTCGTACCCGCGCAACAGCTGCGGCAAAAGCCCGTCGTAGTTTCGTTTCTTTCCGTTTTTTTCAAAGTAACGTTTTTTTTTTTTTTTTTTATTGTTGTTTTCCACCCGAATTCCTTTATCCGTCCGGTGACGAAAATGAGTGATTTGTACGACGGAGAAACCATCTGCCCAACCTCCGTCTGTCATGCCATCGTCTTCTTATTACTGTAACTCTCAAACGCTGCCGCCGCCTCTGCCGCCGGCCCGAACCCAAAGGCGCAGGAAATCGCTATTCGTCGATAAAGGTTTGGTTTTCGTGAAACGATAACGGTCGTTTAGATGTAAGCACACGCACTCGATTACGATTGTTCTACTAACGGTTTAATGTTTATGTACATGATATTGTGCATGTATTTCGTAACGATATCCTGAGTTTTAAATATTGCTAATCGTCGTTGTTTTCAATAATATCGACGACATCGACGTCACTGTAATCTCGGGAATAACTCGACTGTCGGTGTCTGCTGTTATTTCCATTAGACCGAGTTTGATATTAGAGTAAGATAAGAAATCGATCGTGTAACGTATTCGTTTTTATTTTCAATTTACGATTTCTTGTGTACGTGTATGGTCACACTTCTGAAACATTAATAGTGATTAGCGATTCTCGAGAGATGACACATGAAATAAGAAATCCGAAGGCCGAATCGTAGGTAGAATAAAAGAGCCGTGTTTGAAGTTTAGATATCCGTTACATCGATGATATACATCAGATCAAGGCTTATTGTTTACCGATCTACACTTACTACACGTACCTATATATGATTTTACTCGGTTTCAAGAAATTCATGTTTCGTTGGTGGGCGTTTTAAAATAAAACGAGATGTAAATTTTGTTTCTCTCTAGACCACGCGTTTGTGAAAGGAGACTAAGTGTGGAAAAATATTCACTAGTAACTTAAATGTATACACATTGTTATCTAGATGAAAATATACGTATACAAGTTCCGCAATCTTACCGAAACAATTAACCAACTGTAAATAATCGAGCGTGTGCTTCAACTGACCATAAAACGTTATATTGTTGAGGACACGCCTTTTTAACACATTTAATGTACTGCTACCTGTGTGCTTTCTTTAGTTTCCATCTCGTCGCAATCCGTAATTAGTTTCATAAAGGACGTCCCTGAACAACTTATCTCTAAAAAAAACAAATGCGATTATTTAAACGAACAATTACTGAATGTGGTGTTGAAGACCGTTTTCCTCGAAGAGAAATTCGAGTCGCAGGAACTGTCTTTATATTTTGATAACGGTAAGTTGTATTGTAATATTATGATAAACTGTGTTCCAATATTCAGTGGCGCGCGCTAAATAGAAAATGTGGTAATCTGCACATTAATTCGTCCTAGTACTGAGTAAATGTATTATTATTATTATTATTAGTTAATGTATTATTATTCATTATTTACATACCTAAAACTATGTATGCATACGAAAACAGTGTTATAGTTTTCTCTCCACGTTATCGCCTATTTTATTTTTTATTTTTGGTTCTATCTTTCACGGCAAATTATATTGATGAAATAAAACGAAGTAAAAGTATCATTGAGACGAAATTTATATTAATTTTTTTTTTTTTTTGTCAACAGAAATCAAAGAAAAGACAAATACCATTAGCCAAGAAATACCGGAAGAAATCTACGCCGATTATGACTCATTTGAATCCGACGACTCGTGGGACGATTGTAAGGATGGTGTCAATATCAAACGAGTGCCGTACCCTTGTGAAAATCGTGATCTACCAGCTCCGCCAAGTCAGCAGAACATCTACGGACTTGTGCCACTGGTCAAAAAGGCTGGAAACCGGATGAAAAAGCGGTGGTCGTTCGGATCCCTTGGTTTAAACCGAATACGGAAATTGAGCGTGGGCCATTTAGCGACTGATTTCGGTAAGCTTAACGAACAAATGTAATATTTAGCGAAATGCGTTGTGTTAATCGTGAACATTCGTTTGACGGTGTCCGCGTAGGCAACAAAACTTACGGAAGCACGTCGGACAAATCGACTGAAAACAAATTCAATCCGTCGGCAAAACGCAACAGTCTGTCGTCTTCGATTTTCTACCTGAACGATTCTATATACAATAACATGTAAGTATAGCGTAATATTATACGATGGAAACGTACATCGGACACGCGTTGCAATCGATAGCGAAAATCGTTATCGTAAATTGTTGAAAATCTGAAAGAAAAAACAATATTTCGTTTGCAGAGAAAATGGTCAGATACGTGCGCCCGTCAGGAATGCGAGCAAACCGCCTTCGTCCGTCGATTCGCGACGTCTAAGCGTGGCCAGACCCAGTTCACCACCGCCACCACCACCGCCACTTCCGCCACCAGTTAAACGGCACTCGACTGGTAAAACGTCGTCGCTAGTTCATTATTACGACGATTTGTGTTTATTGTTGTGCGCGGATGAATGACGTCTGTTTGTTTCGTCTGTATTTCAGGAAGCAACGCTTACGACGGTTCATTGCCCCGTTCGATCAGCAATTCCAAAGGCAGGCCGGTGTTGGACAAGAGTAACACCGTCGAATCGGTATCTGAAAACGGTAATGAAAAACTATACGCCCAATCGCAATTTCTATTGCCCGATACACATCATTTTTGTCAATAAAACGATTATTCGTCCGCAGGTTCCAATCACGGTTCCGACTTGTACATGCGATTCGCCGACGAGCCTTTGTATCAATTCTACGCTGCCGATATATCCGAAGTACGTGTATCTATATCATTCGTTATCGACTTGTTGCGATTGGATCGATTACAAAAAAAAAAAAAAAAAATCGAACAAAAAAGTAACATCCTCGCGACAACACGATAACTTTTATTAAACGTGTCCGTATTCCGTTGTTATTGTCGTGACGATTTAATTTTAATTTTAATTTTCTCGCAGCGTACGAAAAGCGTTTTCGCGGGTGACATGATGGAAGAGTGTGACGGCTACGAAGAGATCAGCTCGATTACAAGCAGACCGTCAGCTCTAGAGTTGATAACGCCATGTCCGTCTGGGCACGGACAACACCGATCTTTATGGTGCGAAGTTCCAGAAGTAAAAAATAGTGGCATTATAGGTGGGTAACTAGGATTTGTTTTGTTCGTCGCGTTATGAACGAGTCTGATGCGATGTTAATGCTTCATTTACGTTTCGTTAGATACGCTAAAACCACGAGAGCGAAAGTTGCAAGAAGCCAAGTTTGAATTAATCACGTCCGAAGCGTCTTATTTTAAGTCTCTGACCGTACTCGAGAAGCATTTCGTAAATAGTTATTCAATGAACGACGAGACGATACTAAGTAAAAACGATCGAAAGATTCTTTTTGGAAATGTTAATCCAGGTAAATGATTTTTTTTTTTTTTAGTTTTTTCTTTTCTAACGCTAGAGCTATATCGATTGAACGGACATGTAATTTATTTATTTTTTTAGTGCGGAAATGTTCCGAAAAGTTATTAGCGGCCTTAGAAAAATGTTGGCAAGATAACATACTTCTCAAAGGTCTTTGCGAGATTTTATATACACATTCCAAAGAAAACTTTGAAGTTTTCGTAAGATATTGCTCAAATCAAATTTATATAGACCGTACATTGAAAACACTAAGGTAAAAACACTTTGAAATGCTCTGCGTCGAACTATAAGGAAAATCTATAAAAATTGTTAACGTAATTTCAGAGAAAAAAATTTTAAATTCAATGAAGCTTTACACAGACTGGAATCAGATACCAAGTGCCAATCACTTTCTCTTCACTCGTTCCTAATGTTACCTATGCAAAGAATAACTAGATTACCCCTACTCGTGGATGCAATTTTATCACAAATGGATTCTTCTGACAATTCTTTGGAATATCAAATGTGTGAATTAACTTTAGCTTCTTTAAATAGTGTAAGTTGATAAAATGCAACAGCAAAAGTTGGAAATGTTCTTAATTCGATCTATATTATTTAAATTATTTTTAGATTGTACAAAATTGTAATGAAAGTACTAGAAAATTAGAACGTTACGAAGAAATGTTGCTATTGAGCAGACAATTAGAATTTTCTAGCAAAAAAGAAATTAAAGCCATGTCTGTAGCTTCCAGTTCACGTTGGTTAGTGCGTTCAGGTTCCATGTTGCATTTGACTAGTCCTGATGCTAAATTGACGTTTAGTCGAAAATTAATACGACCAACTAAATTGTACTTCTTCCTATTCAACGATATGTTTTTCATAGCGAAACGCAAAAGGTATTTCGCATAATAAATATATTAAATATGTTAACAACTGGTTATGCTTAATATATTATTGATTCTTTTTCACAGTGATGAAAGCTATACAGTGGTGGATTATTGCGCAAGAAATTTCGTACAAATGGTCGACGCGACTGAATTAGTTATTACTTCATCCTACAAGAATCTTCTAATGTTAACTATTTTAGAAAACCATGAAGCAAAGACTATTGAAATGGTATTTTATTTTGATTATTTATGAATGTCTTAGATTAAAGTTACTTTACTCAATAAAATTGAAATTTAATTAAAAATCGTTGATTAGATTAATTAACTCAACATATACAATTGTGTTTGAATTATGTTAATTAGCTATTAAATTGTAAAAAATAATTTATCACTTCGATTGGTACCTTTACCTATCATATTTTAAATAAGTTATTTATTCAACAGTTATTAAGTTGTGATTCTGAATCTTCCAAAAAACGATGGATTGAAGCAATGTCACCTCCTATTAGTTCCAATCCTGACGAAACATTGTACAATGAATGGGACTGCCCACAAGTATATTCTGAGCATCCATACACAGCCGTTCAGCCCGATGAACTTTCGTTACAGAGTGGAGATATTGTCAAAGTTCTAACTAAAATGAATGATGGTAATATAAATATATTTCCTCATAATTTTCAAACAAATTGATTAAAAATATTATTCCTTCAACTTTTAGGATGGTACCATGGTGAGCGAATTCGTGATGGTGAGAAAGGATGGTTTCCAGGTAATTATACATCAGAAATAGCATCACAACATGCTAGAGCGAAAAATCTAAAACAACGTTACCGCTTATTGGCAATGTCTGGGAGTTACCTGCAGTCTCAACAAGATAAAATTAAGAAAAAGTAGTTAAATTATTTAAATCCCATTTTTTGTTATTTTTACTTCACATTTCTTTATTGAAAGAAAGAAACACTTAGAAGTGTAATTAATAAGCTGTATTATAATATACTTTAAATGCTTATCTAAAAAAATATACAATATATATTAAAAACAAATATGTATCAAATTTATAACATAGTTTGTACGTTTTTAATCGGAGCCAGTAGACAAACAAAATAATATCTTTTACATTTTATAAAAATACCTGATGTGTTAAGGCTAATTATTGTTTTATTTATTGTATTTGATTTAAAATCTATTTATCATTTTGTATATTTACCTTACCTCGACAAGGTTAAATGGTTAACCTCGCTCATTTAATTTTAAATCTGTAAATGTAAATATTTATTGTTTCTGATTATATAATGTACTGTTACTGTTATTTACAATTATACGTTAATGATTTTTACTTAAAATAAACTATAGGAAATATGATTATATTTAAGAACAAGTAAATTTTGTACAACATTTTTTAATTTTATAATATTTTAACAATACCAGTTTTAAATTTAAAACTAATATTAGACGGAACTACAGTCTGGACTAATTAGGCCATTAATTGTTTTTTCCTATACCATTGCGAAATCTGATCAAAACTAACATTGAAAGTTATATTAGAATTTATTTAATACCTTTTGTAGTTTAGTGTGTATTGAAGTAACAATATTTGTTCAGTTATAAAAATTCCAATACAACAATTATTCTTCAGGCGAAAGCTGGATGCAATTTTTGTTCACTGGTAAACCATGAAAACGAAATCAAGTGATTACAATTTATATTACGTTTTCATTTTCGAAAATTTGAATGAACAATATTAACAACGGATATGTTCGTTGAGTGGTGACTCACTGTATTGTGCTTGCTAATAAATGGATGGATTGATTGAAGACTTGCTACCAAGGGCGCCGTAAGGGGGTGCAATGTACTTGTTTATCTTTTATAAATTATAATACTTATTTTTTAAATAATAACGGTAAATGTCTAGGTTTTTTTTCCAAATATAATGCGTTTATTTTGAATTTTGAAAATGTATTTTGAATTTGTCAGCAAGTATTTTTATCAAATATTTCTGTTTGGTTTTGATGGACTGAAAGTCTTTTAATCACACAACCTTATACATCGTCTTGAACCATAACTACAGATGATTGATTACTGTTGTCGTAACTGCTGGCCAACGATGTAAATGTATTTATAAAATTATTCTAATTTTTTCATAAAATCATAAAAAATTTAAAAAAAAAAACTGTTTTTGCGATTACGAATAGAGGCTTGTGACAGAGCAAAATAAATCATCGGACCTCTTCTAACCAAACCGAATCCGAAGCCATCGCGAATCACCCGGTTTCGAAGTAATGTAGATAAGTCACAACAAGCACATACACTCGTACACAAATATATTTGCATAACTTCGTGACTTACAAAGGAGAACAGATTGTTCATCTGAATGAGGCGTCTCGTGCATGTTCATTGAATGCTCTTTGCAACTGACCGGGATAACCACCACTACCACTGTTACAACACAAATCCGTCCGGATGGTTGGAACCGCGATCCTAAGTACTCATCAAACTTGGTGAACTTTCTGTGGTGGTCCGGTTAGGTTTGAATAGATCTAAGCTTAATTTCGATAAAGTTTCCGTGTGAGGGCAACGAAAAAAAACCCAGGCGAACAATCGATAATCCCTGCGGTCTCCTGCAGCGTGTATGGTATAAAAGAATTGATTTACGATTCTCTAGACGGGTCCATTTTGCTTCAATAATACCGTACCGTTTTTCTTCGTTGTCCATTTTCCTTATATAAAAAAAAAAGGTTGGATACCATTTCCTCCAAACTTTTTTTTTGACTAAATTTACGTCAATTTTTCTCCAAATATTAAAATATTTAATTGATAACAGTTTTATAGTGCTGTGTACCGTATAGAAAGTAAAAAATCTATAACATCAATAATTATAGAAATTTACCGTATAAAAGCTTTAATAAATCGCGAAAATTACAAATATTTTTTTAGAGTATAATCGAAAATCAGAATCTGGATTATCACGTTGGTGATGTTGTTACTTGCCATACAGTAATATAATAGTGAACGGAAAGCGAAAAGCAATTGATGATTTATTCTAATAAACAAAAAAAAAAAAAAAAAATTATACTTAAATACTTGAATAAAATTCTTTCAAATTCTCAAATTACAATATTACCAAATTTCATTAAATTTAAAAAACACTGTTTGTTGAAGATTTTATGTATATTATGGCTTAAGATTATTGAGTAATTGAAGTATGATGACTGTTAGTTTAATACATTTCAAAAAGAGCTAAATTTTCATCACCGATTTGGGTAGAATCATAATTTACGTACTACCAATGCGTGTAAGTTGTTTCATTCACTTTTTAAAAAACATTATTTCAAAGATAAAAGAAATATATTTAAGTAGCTTAATATTGTGAAACAAATTCAAACTGATATTTATAGTAAAATAAAGAGCATAGATCTAACAAAAGACTGAAGTATCTAAAGGCTACGGAGAAAACAAACGGCGTGTATCAATCGACAATGCAATAAGTAAATTGCAAAACAAAGAAATTTCTAGGTAATGCAAAAAGTAAAAAAATTATTCATTCCTTGTAGAAGTGTCATAAAAATATGTATGCAAAATATATGTACCTAAATCTTATATTCATGGACGTAGCTTGGTATTGTTATCTGTGGGGCCTATATTATAGGACTAGAAAAATGTACTTATTCCAAAAACTTCTTATCTTTAACGAAAGAGAACATTTCCTAGAAAAAACAATTTATAGGTGTCTCATTCTTTACCTAACATTTTATTTTACAATACATAAAAAAAAAAAAACAATTAATTTTGAGTTATTAAATTAAACTTATTTTTTTTTTTTAAATAATTAATAAAATAACTTACCTTCTTTCAACAGTTAATTGTGTTTTGCTCAATTTTTCAAAACATTGTCACTGGCCGACAATTGTATCGCCTAGTTAACACGTTTAAAAAATGCACTGAATAAACATAGGTACAAACATTTGTAACAAGTGACAACTTTTAGTGCCAGGCAAAATTATAATACAAATAATTTTAAGGAAAAACTAATATAAAAAATTTCAAAACATCAATAAAACATCGATGTTTTCTACCATGTATCAAAGACTAAACATCGATTTATCGAACATAAACCTCGATGTTTTAAAAACATCTATGTTTTTTACCCACCTCTAGTAATTACGTTAAGTTTAATTTGAGTTGGTCCTGTTTCCAAATTCCCTAAGTTTAATAGAAATGAGTCATTTCATGCAATTTCAAAATGCTCGGGTTGAATATTGTTAAGACCATCAGGTAATGACGAATTATTAATTTTAATTTTACTATTTATTGGACTTAGATTATCCACTGCAAAGTTTTCGTTGTCCCTGGTTGGTGGTAATGTTTTCTTGTCAGACTTTTTTTTATATTAAATATACTGAACATTGTTTTTAAAAGAAATAAGAAAAACAAGAAAAAAAGAAACAAAGATATCAAAATTAATTAAAAATGTATGAAATAATATGCTAAGTAAAATATAAGACAGACGTGTGTGTGATGTACACGAGCAACCTTCAAAGACAGATCAGTCACTAATTCCGAGAAAAATACCGATAAATAAATAATTATTATGTGTGTATTCCATACAAATTATTATTTGTTATCTTTATAATTATGCTTAGGGACTTATAGCTCTAAAAAAACACACAAATATGCTTCTAAAATCATTAAAATATGCATTATAATATGCATTTATATGCATTAAAAAAGAAAAATGACCACATAGTACACAAAATAAAAGGTGTCCATTGGATGTAAATGTATCTTTAAACTCAAAATCAAAATTTTTTGTCGGCTACTGTCGTAGACTGTTGTACTTTCGGCATTACACAATTTTACGAAATATACGTGTACAACATTTTACGTATGATTCGACGTTGTGTGTTTGCGAAACGCAAAAACGACGATGGATAATAATCGACTGAACTGAACACTAAACAAATAATCTATTATTCTATGTCGACTATTATCTTTATCGAAATCTGGTCGATATCCAGCGGGTTAAACGGCGATACGGGTTTATTTATAATATATTATTTATACTTCCACAAAAATTATAACGAGATATGAGAGGTAGTTTGTAGATTAGCATATTACTAAAAATATTAAGTACACTTAGTGCATTTTTTTTTCGTTCGGTTTAAATATGTATATATGTTATATGTATCTATAGTTTTTAATTTTAAATAATAAAATTTGAAAATGTTAAAATATGCAAAATTATGCACATTCAAATTTTAGATCTAATATCATAACACCGAGAAATGAATTTATTTCGTACTCTACTATATTTAACAATAGTTAAAAAAAAGTATGCAAATGCTAGAAGTCCCTAAGCCTAGTTATAATATCGGACAACGTGACAATGCATGGCCCAACGATCGCACATGGTAAATCCAAAAAATTAATAAGACGTTGATTTATAAATAAACATGTTTGTGATAAAAATAAGTAGTTTTATGTATGTTAGTGCAATAATTGTCAATACACAATAGACTGCTAATATTTAAAACTTGATGATTTTTAGGAAAAATTATGAAAACATTGAAAACTAGAATTTATTAATTTTAGATAAAATGAGGGCGCTACAGAAATTGCTATGGGGTTACAGCCTCCACAGCACCATGCATACTACGCCGATGTTTATATTTGACTTATAAATACATTTGTATCAGTTTCATTTGTATTAAACATAAACAACTATTTTTATACATAATTCCTTATTGGAGGAAAATGGTCAAGATTTTTTTTTTTTAAGAAAGAAGAGAAAAACGGTATTTTTGAAGGAAAATGGTTACAGCCATTAACTTGCATGTATAGATCTCCATGGGAGCAAGAGCGTAATGATCGTGCATAAAAACATTTTACCCTACGAAAAAGACAAAAAAAAAAAATGAAACAAAAACATGGGGTTTATGATACGTATTTGACCTATATTTGAATGATGTGTTAGAAAAATTTACAGCTCCTAACCTAATCACTTTTTAAAAATGTAATATAAATATAATATGATTATTACATTTATATTTTCAACACGGTTTTGTATTTTCGTCGGCAAAGTTTTATTTTTCACTCGATAAATTGTTCTCGTTCTCGCGATCGTCGTTTATTAATCGCGATTCCATCTGAATGCTAATTCACTACGTCATTAATAATCTACATTTTAAGGCGAAATAAAAATACTAATCCGCTCTCGTTCACAGTGTCCACGCACTGATTTATCACATCAGTATATACA